TTCTTCCCACAGCCTAAGCTAGATCAAAATGTTCTTACCACAGAGCTCTCCTCCCTTCACACCAAAAGGGCGCGCAGCCTCCCGTACCAGCGCCAGCCCGGACCCCAGCGGAGAGCTGTCATGGCTGCTGCGGTCTTTTTCCCTTCCCCCAAATGGGAGATGATGGATTCACATCTTAACTAAATAAGATCACTGCTCTTTTATGATTCAATTTTGATTGATGAGTATTCCCTACCTAGCCCTGTGCCAGGTGCTTTTAAAGGTAAAAAGAAGTATAAACTGTTCCTTTGTCCAGGGAGCTTGAAGTAATACAAGACATAAATGTGAGAAACTTGTAGAAAATAATCCAAGGTAGAATATAATCCCATGCTTAATTGAGTACCCGTTGCTCTAAGTTCTTTGCAAGTTCAGAATGGATGTATTAATACCAAGACTGTGGTCCTGAAAATAAATATGTTGGAGGAATTTAATTCCAATGTATTTTAGAAAGAACATTTGGTCTCCATGAGATACTAAAACAAACTGTTCACAAAAGAGTGCTTACTATCTGCAACACATTAGTGAAGGCTTTTGTAAGTGTGTATTTAATCTTCCCAACAACCTCCTGAGCTACAGATAACATTAACATCCCTGTTATTTTGAGATGGGGGGACTGAGGCTTAGAGACACTATGCCACTTGCATTGGCTATATCGATAATAGGTAGTAGGGGCCAGAAATGAAACCTGAGAAGTCTGGTTACAGATTCTGTGTTTTTAAATCAATAGTTATTATGGGTGAAAGGAGTTTCCAGAGGTAAGGAGGATTTTTGCTACAAGAATTCTCAGGCCCTTTACTATGTTTAGGAATACTATAGACCTCTATGAAAGCAGCATTTTTGCACATATACTTGACCTCATTACCTTCTTTTTTTAGGCAAGGTTCTCCTAGGATTAGGGATTTTTAAAACAGACCTAATGTGGAAGGTCCACAGCATCTTACATACTTGACAGAAGGAGGGGGCTGGATGTGGCCCTAGCTAGGTCCCTGGTGCCATGGGGACCACAGCGACTGCCCCCTGCCCTCGGCCCGGACCCGGACGTTGCACAATGCCCTCAGGTCTAGGCTGCCATTTGTAACTAGCCCAGTGTCCATTTGTAATGATTTACTAGCCTTTTATTCATCCTACTGCTAGACTATATTCAGTTAAAACAAACAGACATTATTTAAGCTTCTTCCATAAGCCAGGTACTAAACTAAGTGCTGGTCAAAAATGGCCATCAGAGCAGTGAGGTTTCCTGCCACGTGGAGCCTGTGGAAACAGCGTGTGGAAGGAAGAGCCTGCATTTTAGAGCCTCCGTTTAGCTGTGGGGCCCGAGGCAAATACCTTAACTGAGCCAAGACTCAGTTACATTAAAAAATAATAATAGTGCTACTGCTCAGGGTAGTTCAGGGACTAAACAACATGATACTTGCACATGTCAGGCCTCACTCAGGGCTCACTTTTCTGTGGCTATTTAATGGAGATTGGGTACTTCTTATGGCAACATAAAGACAAAAACCTCTCATGAGGATCAGCACTGCTGAGTCGCCCTGTCTTGCCACGATGAGGCCAATCATACAGGGCAAGAGTTCCAGAACCCACCACAGGTGGCCGTCCAATTCTCTGCATCCAGGGGTGATCTCTTCCACCTCCCACCTTCTGAAGAAGATTTATTGAAAATACACACACACATACATATACACATGCATGTACACACAAATCTAAATACCTGGAAGGTAGAAGAGAAAGGGAGAAAGGGGTAAAGATGGTATACAAACTATATCATTGCCCCTGAGCCATCAATAATAGTGAATGAATTTCCCAAATGCCATGTAACTTTCTTATTCTTAACCTCATGTCCTGTGAGCTGAGATTTTATCTCTGGCTTAGCAGTGAACCTAGGCTCCCTAAGACTCCCCGCCTAGGACTTCTCAGCTTCCAGAGCTGGCCTGGGGTAACGATGGTGCACACCGAGCACATCCTCGTTTGAGTCATTGGCAATGTTCCCTTTTGAAGAATGAATTACAAGTAAGGGAGACAATGATAGAAGAGTCAGGCCCAACTTAGCAGCCAGAGCAAAGAGGCTCTGAGCCTGAGGTCCTACGTACCCAAGGAGTTCAGGTGAGAAATAACTCCTTAAAAAGTAGAACTTGGTCCCAAAGTTCCCACTAAGTGCCAGGCATAGTACACATACTATTTACTATTGCAAGAACACTGCAGAGTTAAATGTTTTTCTCCATAATGAAGTAGAGCGATGAAGTAATTTGCCTAGACAACCAGTAAGTTATAGAGCTAGGATTTTAAAGTAGGTCTTCTGACTTCAAAACCCACTCCTCTCAACTACTCTAAAGATAATTCTCAGCCATAGCCCAGAGGGGAGAGGCAAGAGCAAACCAAGGTCAAGGCCAAAGGCAAGACCAGATACCAGATGTGGAATAGAGGACAGAGCCAAGAGCTCAGAGCTTATCAGAGGTAGAGATGCTACTCTGTTTTCTCCTCTGTGAGATGAGAACAGTGATAGTATCTATCTTCAAGGGTCGTTTAAGGATTCAGTCAGGTAATCCATGTAAAGCCCTTGCCACAGTCACTAAAACATAGTAAGTATTCAGTAAGTGTTGGCTTTTACTCTTCATCTCAGATCTGTGGTTTGATGGCATTGACAGAGAAAACTTAAGGACTCCATAAGAACTACAGATTGTATTAGCTGACCTCTGTCACATCGCTTCTGGGCCTCCCTAGGCTGTGGACATTTTTCACCCTTCTCTCCCTTTTCTTTCCTTAACCTGTGTTTTCATGCCACCAAAGAGTAACCTTTAGATGCCTCATTGTGTTTAGCAACTGAGCTGTACCTCTATCCCTGGCAGAGAGAGTGACACTCCAAATACAACCAGATCTTTTGGATTTTAGAGGCAAGCTGACTTGGTCCAAATCCCAGTCCTGCCACTAGCTAAGTGGCCTGGAGCAAGTGAACCCATACATCAGAGCCTCACTGCTGTTCATCTGTGACAGGGAGTAGTAAAGCCTACTTCACAGACAGGCTGCACCGGTAGCATATGTCAGCCTCCTGGCACTGTCACTGTGTGGTTAAAAGACTCCCCCTCCGATGGGAACACATTTATCTTAGAGGGAATTCTATTGTCTTTGGGACTTGAGCTTCTTAGAAGACGCCAGACCCTCTTCCAGCTTGCAGCCCGGGTTTTCACTGGCCCCTCTTCTGCAGAGGAAACAGCCCATAAACTCTCAGAGGGGCTGTCCTCCGCCTCCTCCCCAGCCTTACCTCTCCCTCCCCCCAAATCCCAGCATCTGTTGCTCAGACAGTCAGCTGCCAAGCTGTGGCCAAGTCTCTCCCTGGGTTCATTTGATATTTTACCACTTTGTTTTTGAAGAAAAGCCGGTGTCAGTGCCAGGCCCTGGGGAGGCAGATTCTGCCTCTGCCAACTGCCAGCCGTGTACCATCTCTCTTAATCTTGCCCTGGGAGTCCCAGGTGATCCCATTACAGAGCGTCTCTTACCAGACAGCTGCCACCGGGACCCTGCGGAGGCACAGACAGCAAACTCCAGGCTTTGTGGGACCAGGGCCACACCCTGAGCACAGCTCTGCAATTCTGTTGAAAGGCCAGTGGTCATGTCTACCTTTCTTGATAAGGTTAATTATTTTCCTTATAACAACAGCTAGTTGCTGTGGCCATCCCTTGCAGAGAAAAAGGGCGCATTCCTATTTACTGAATGCTTATTCTGTATTAGGCACTGCAGGAGGATTTTACTTGCGTTAACACCCTCTAGCCATGCAAGGAAGGCCTTATCATGACCCCTTTTTACAGACGGGAAACCAAAGTTGTGCAGGTACCACTTCTAATCCTCGCGACCATTGGAATGTGTATCTGCATCCTGCATATAGGAAACCTGGAGGTCAGAGAGGTCAAATACAGCTGGAAAAGGAGCAGAATAGGGATACAAAGTCTGTTTCACTTAGGATTCCCTAACTCCATGTCACCACTTAGGATTTCCTAACAACATGTCACCACTTAAGGAAACAAGAGCTTAAGTAAGCAGTGTGTGAGAGGGAGGAAGGAAGTCAGCTTGCGAATCTGCTTTTTGCTGCTTGACCGACCTGGGAGTAGCAGTGGTCAGATGGGGAATTTGGGCACCTTGTCTGACCACACACCCTGTCTGTGTCATTGAAAAACATAACCCTCAGCTCTTACGGACCTCAAGGCGATGGTGTGGTAATGAATGTAACATGAAGTATTTATGAAGTTTGTTGCCTTTGCCCACCTCAGAAACAGTGTATCTCAGGATCTCAGGAAAAGTTTGAATCAGAATTTGCATACTGGCAACCTGCAGGCAAATCTAATCAGAAAGATGTTTTGTTTTGACCGGTGGTATTTTTTAAGTTTCAGATTAGTTGCTAATGTTTTTTTAATGCAGCAAGTCACATAGAGCTCCAGATTTCTTAATTGTCTCCAAAAGTCAGAAGCCGTAACAGCCCTGGGCCTCCAGCCGTGGCCCCACTGGCTGCGGCTGTGTCGGCCACCGCAGCCTCCACCGCTCCCTAGTGCTCGGTGACAGGGAGTGACAGTCTCCGTGTAGCGTCACCCTCCTCCTCTCATTTTCTTACATTAGAGGTTAGAGGGAAATGAACTTTCTTGTGGTCTATAAAATGGAGAAAAAATTAAAAGGCAATAACTGAGATTGCATGTTTCTATGTAAAAATAAATACTTCTACACATTTACTTGTACCAAAATAAGATATAACCAAAGAAACACACCCGGCCCCCTTCGCTCTTTTTGATTGTTATTGGCATTTGATTTTACCACCATTTGAGCCACTTTTTTTAGGCAGAGTCAGATGCGGCTGAGTGTCTGCAGGTTGACCTGGGCGCCCAGCCCTGGCCTGCTCCTCAGCCTCACACGCGGTCCTCGGGGGCTACCGAAGCTTTCCCGTCATGGCTTTGTTCTCTTTTGTCCCCCTTCTCTAGGTGTTCCCTTTCCAAAGAACTTCCTTCAGATCTGCAAGAAGATCCTGTGCCGCCTTTTCCGGGTCTTTGTCCACGTCTACATCCACCACTTCGACCGGGTCATTGTGATGGGCGCAGAGGCCCACGTCAACACCTGCTACAAGCACTTCTATTACTTCGTCACAGAGATGAACCTCATAGACCGCAAGGAGCTGGAGCCCTTGGTGAGTGTCACCGGGCAGTGGCAGGACCCAAGTCACCCTCAGGACCGTGCTAAACACCATCTAATGGGTAGTTGTTAGCTGGGATTGCAGAATTAGATAGGCTTTAGAAGTCAGTTAAAGGTCAGAAGATGCCAAGATGTCTGTGGCCACCAAATAAGGGTCTTAAATTTCTCTCAGAGAAGTGGCAGAATATAATGGGATTGTGATGATTTCAGCCAAAGGGAGTAGCTTTAATTCACAGCTTCAAAACCTAGTTACTTAATCCTTTAAATGGACATCTCTGATGTGTCATGTCATCTCTTATGCTGTTATCAAAAGAGATGACCAGAAGCATTTTTCTATAATCAGTAAATAAATATAGACCACTTATTGTGTGGCAACTACTGGGCAGACAAAGGCAGGTAAAAATGCCTTTGAGTAGCTTTGATTTCAGCGATAGAGACAGAAGAAGCCCAGACAAGAATACAACATCACAGGAACTTTGCTTTCATAGCGAATTCCCTGTGACACAATTTATTAGAATAATTAGAACCCAGAACATTTCATACAAAACTTTACTATTATCACTTAGGTGAATGGGGACTATGTTTATTTTCTTCATAAGTTATTTCTACAGTTGGACTCAATCTGAACTTTTAAAGTCAAAAATCCATCATCTTTTGTAACATGTGGTATCTTACTGGGCTGCCCCATCACAGCTCTTTCTAGTTGGCTCTTCCGAGTACTTTCTTAGCCAGTATAATACACTGCTTTACAGTAAAATCATGCTTTTTTCTTGAAACAGTAAAAGTGGCACTTTTGCTCAATGTAACTGATAGAGCAACTACATTCCATCCAAGTCTGTCTGAATAATGGCCAGAACACAGGGACCAGGCTGTCAACTTTTCTACCACCTTCCTTTCTCTTTATATACGTGTTTCTAGAATACATGTTTTATTATTATTTATGTATGGTGAGACCAACAGATAAAGCTCTCCAAAGGTGGTTTGTTATGCTCACAGACCCCAAGAGAAGAGGCACATTACCTCATGGGGGCCACACAGGGGAGCAGCCGAGTTGGTCAGAGGCAGAGGAAGCAGGGAGAATGCAGGCAAGAGCCTTTGTTGTTATTTCCCTGGGAAGGAATGGGTAAGGCAGGTAAGCCAGTTTAAGATTGACTAGTTAGAATAATTTCAATGGGTTCTAAACCTAGGGGCTACCCTGGTTGTCTGGAACCTGGCCCTAGGGTGATGAGGACAGGGGAATCGCAACCCTAACTGTGAGAGGAGGTAGAGGAGGTAGGTAGGCTGCAGGTTCTCTTGATTTGTATTGATTACTGAGTAAGCAGCTTGAGGGTGAGTTATTTACTGTCTCAAGGAATATGCTGGCCCTGGGACCTCTATGGTCAGCAGGACCCCAGATGTTAAAGAATCCAAATACAAAAAATAAAAGACATGTTTAATACAGTACAATACATATATCTGGCAAAGAAGATGTTGGTGAATGTCACATATCACCTTTAGAGTCTCTGAACTTGAAATCTGTTATAATGCTATGAGAGTACATGGTAAAATATATATATATATATATATATATATATATATATATATATATAAATATATGCATATACATACACACACACACACACACACACATATTTGTATCACTCAAGAATTCTGGAAGAAAGTAAAACTTCCTGAGTAAAATAGAAGTATATCATTGGCTAAAGAAGTGCTAATTTTCTTCATTTTTATTTACAACAGCTTTCTAGAAAGCTCTTGGGGGCATGAACTGAGTTGTCTCTGAATTTAGTTGGGTAAATAGTATAGAAAGAAGCTGAAACACATTAAGAGTGAGTTTTGCTAGTTTGTCCTCTATGAAGGCTGCTGTGGGTAGACAGCCACTTGAAGAAGAAAAGGTTGTACAAACAGCTCAAGGGAATTAAAATGCTGGAAAGAGTGATAAAGCTAATTTTAGAAAATGTCAAGGACAAAGGAGAGAGTCGATAGGGACCATGGAAATGAAGAGAGTAGAGAAACCACTCTGATCTCCCCAAGAACATGGTTCTGCTTCTGGTGAGTTTAGCTTTGTTCTCTTTGACTGACATGTTCAGATGGAGGGGAAACACCTTTCCCAAAGGTCCACTGGGAGCAAGAGCCTCTCCCAAGCATTCATGATTTTGGTTTTACTGAGCTAGAGGAGCAGAAACACCAGCTGGATAGATTGGAAAGTTGGTTTCTACTTAAATGGAAACATGAAGGCCATTGTAGGGCAAAGCTGAGTGTAAGTCAGCAAATAGAGAAAGTTTTTCTATTTGCTGTAAGACAACTTTGTTATTTTCTAAGGAAGAGGCCACAGGGTTTCTACCACCTGGCTGTGCCTGGAGCTAACTGAAGTCTGAGTCACAGAAAGGCCCCCCAAAACCCTATATTCTAGATAAGGGCCTCTTTGGGAGAAAAAATTACAATGGATTAACCAGGAATTATTAACAATGAAATTGAGCAAAAAAGGGTAATTTTTGTACCCTCCCAAAAGCTTCTATTTCTTTGTCTTATTTCAACGAGTATCCTTCCTACCTTTATGCTTTGTTAATTATTATTACAGGGAGACTAATTTTAATGTTTTTACATACTAATGGCGAGTGTTTTTAATGTTTAATTGTCTAAAATTATATATTCATTTTACACAAGCCAAAACCTATAAAGTAAATGAAAAAGATATTGATTATATAATTTCAGGGCCTGGACACTTAGCAGAGTCCAGTGTCCACTGAGAACACTGTACTTGTGGATTGTTATTACAGAAATCAGCACTTTCAATAGCGATAGCGCTAGAACGCCTAACTTCTACATCCACTGTTACAGCGCACATACTAAAATCAGTCACAGCATATCCAATCAACACATTTTTATTTTTATTTTATTTGCATATATTAATTACTCTATATAGGCAAAGTAAGTTGCTCTAAATGCATATATATTCTAAGTACATAAAAAAGATACACTTTTAAGAACTTACAAAAGCACTCAAATAATGTAAAACAATGACTGTTGCTCATCTCTGGCACTTTGAAGGATGACAAAGAAGTCAGGCACTTGGCTTCACATGCAGGTTGTACATTCTTTAGCCTCTACGGCAGCTAAGGGGACAGAGGATAGCATTTGTTCGGCCAGTTTCACATAGGACATCAGCAATCCCAGCGTTCCCACATCTCCACTGGGACATTCCTGGTGTCACGCCTTGGGATTCTACAGTTTAGAATCAGATGCTCCACCTCGTGTTTCCCTCTTTCATGCTTCCACCATGGACACCCATACTCTCCTGCTCCCAGAGCCCACCCATTTGCTTTTGTCTGACGTTGACTGGGGGCCCAACACACTGGTGGTGTTGAGAGTCCAGCCCCCCAACAAGGGTAGAGATTCAGCCTCAGACATTGCTGGGGACAACATTCAACTCTTTGGGTTCACACTTCCTTTACTAACTTCCACTGTTGAGCAAGATAGTTGACTTTTCAAAGCCTCATCCTCCTCGTTCATAGAATGAGTATAATAATAGATTCGTTGTAAAAATTAAGTGGGTTAGTCACATGGTAAGTGCTTAAGAAGTATCAGTTGTGAAGTGAGATAATGAATGTACAGTAGCTGGCATAGAGTAAGTGGAGGCACCCCAATGCTCTCTTCCCTAGATCCCATGGCGTTTCGCCATTTTGGTAATCTCCCAGGTGGCCCTGTAGCAGATAGAAGTCGTTGTATCAGTATCTCCCTCTTTGAGGGCCGGGAGTATACAGGACACAAGCTTGCATTGCCTATGTTGCCTGGTACATAATAAATGCTAACTGCATTTTTGAATCGAGAAGAGTACTTTGTGGATGACGCACCTCCATTCAAAGGGATTACACATGAGACGTGGGTTCCTTGATGCCTCCCTCATCTCAGAACATGCCTTCAGACCTCCTCTTATCCATTGTTTGAAGTAATGCTTCATCCTCTCAGATGAGCAATAGAGATTAAAAGCAAAATAAGGTGCAGAGCGGTGGAGCAATACATCACCAGTCTTAGGCCTGACAGAGAAAGATCAGACCCTAACTCTGGTCAGTTCTCCGTTCTAGATTCCAGCTACATCGCTCAGGGAATATTAAATGTTTTCACACTGCCTGTGTGTCATGGTGTGCCAGGCATAAGGGGATCAACCCTCCAAAGAGTTAGCACTAAAAATCTCATGTCCTGGGAAAACTCAGTCCCTGGCAAACAGATGATTGGTCACTTCATCAGGCCTCTGAGTGGGAATACAAATTGGAATTCAGAAGCTGGAAAGGGTTACCCTGGCCCGCACACTGAGGGCTTGCCTCATGGCTCCCTTTGGGGCTTGCTGGTCAGCAACGGCCTGGGAACTCAGGGAATCACATGCCATTTCATTTGGTCTCCAATGGGGAGGGGGAGCTGGAGGACTGACTTAGGCACAACTGTGACTAATGGTCCATTTCTCATGTAAATGCAAGTTGAACTCAAACAAGTTCACAGTTGGAGGAAAGGAGGCCAAATGATGCTGGTAACTAGAAAATGAGCCAGGCCCTGATCGAATAAGCAGGCTGCTGTTGGCTCTTGGCAGTCTGGGAGTCAGTTTACAGAATTAAGATAATCAGGATTATTGTTAGCAAGCACAGGCAGCTAACAGTGTTTTGTTGGCCTTTCACTAAAAACAAAGGCAGACACAGAGAGGGCTGTTAGTAAGGCACTAGTGGCTGAATGAGGAGCTGATTGGGAAGGAGGAAAGGTGTTGGAAAGGGGGAAGGGGCTGAGGGGAGGGGTAAGACTGTAGGGTGCTTGTTCACCCTATTGTACCTGCTGACCCCTGGGTGACATTGGTCTGGGGCCTTCACCTTCTCTCTCTAGGGCTTCATTTCCTTATTTCTAACAGTAAAGGTGATTATACCATCACCTACCTTATAGATGTGCTGCTGTGAAACCCAGTGTTACCACCGGGCTGTTCTGTCACCTTAAAGCAAGGAACTTGGGCCAAGT